AAGGAGTAAGGGGGTACAAATGAAAAGATTTGAAATTGGTTTAATTTCGAGAAATGCGAAACGAAAATTTGTGAAGAAACGAAATGAAAACATCTGCCATTTCTCGTCAAAATATTATTCATTACGTATGCAGATGGACATTTGATCATTGTAGATGGAATTTGTACGAAAAGAAAACAAAGAAATACATTGCATTGATTAAAGAATGAAAACTTGGAGTTAACAGTAAAGAAAGAGAAACTGAGAAGAGCTGCTAATTAACGTGTAAAATTGTGAGTGCGTGTATATATGCAATAAACGTATAACTATATCAGCGTCTTCCAAAGAAATGGTGCTTTGTGGAATAGATTCTGGGCTGAATCACTAAAATCTTGAATTTTTCAAGACTAGAGTTAACCGTTATCTTCGCTACATAAGCACATGAACTGAACTTCCTGGTTTTTCTTCTGTTCATACAACACCACACAGTAAGCCTCTACGTACGGGGGGAACCCGAAGGAGGCTCCGCCGAAGGGCGGAGTTTCCTTCGGGGAGGTAGACCGGCCCTGAACCCGTATATACGGGTTCAATGGGCATATTTTTGGCCGAGCCCACGGGATCGGAATGCCCACGTTAAAAAGGCCTTGTGCCACATGACACCCTCGTGGCGGGGTGACTCAATATCGTTGAGTGACTCTTTGGCCTTCTTTTGGATTCCCATTAGTATATACCCGGTGTAACACCAAAATTGTCCAAATCATGTAATAGTATAAGTATCCATCCCAAAAAATGTTTAATAGCTAAAAAAAAAAAAAAAAAAAAACTAATTGAGTTTCTTTTTTTAACAGATTTTCAAGTAAGGCATTTGGTCATCTTGACAACATTTTTGCTAAAAATCACTGAAAACCTCTTTGAATTATTTAGCTAAAAGAGAGAAGGATAAAATTGTTTTGTGTTAGATCCTCTGTCTTCCCAAATGATCAATGATGAGAGGAAAAGATCATTCAGGCCTTCAGTAATGCTACCAACATTCATACACTGGCTTCCATCTTAAGAATCTATTCAAGAACCACAAAGAGAACAGTAGAGAGGAAAATTAAATCAGGAGGTTACAACAGGAAGAGGAATTATCATTTCAACTTAGATCTAAAGAGATCAATTAGAAAAGATCCAACTCAATCAATAAGATATTTTAGAGAAAGACGTGAGAGAGAAGTTTCAGCTATGATAGTTCAAAAAGCAGTGAAAAAAAATTGAAAATCAATGAAATCCTGCGTGAAACATGTGAGGCAACTTGTTACGCCAGGACAGAAAGTTAGAAGGTTAAAGAGGGCAAATATCATCAAATGTAAGTTAGAAAATGATCCTGGAATGGTATATATGTATATATATATATATATATATATATATATATATATATATATATATATATATATGAATTTTATTTCAATACTTATGAGCTTCCGATCCTTAGCTATGATTATTAATGATGAATATGTCATTTTCGTTTATCTTCAATTTCATCGCCATTCTTCTGTTAAGCTTGGAGAGTAATTATACATTATTATTGTTCAAAGTAGAGTACAATAGGGTTATAAAAACCTTGGAGAATTCCAGTAAGGTATATTTAATCATTTGTAAGATACAACGGTTCAAAAATTAATCTAACAATCGGACAATTTTGCTTTTACACGATTTGGACAATTTTGCTTTTACAATTGGGACAATTTTGCTTTTATTATTAAAATAAAAATTGATATGTCGACAATATTTGTTCTTTGGAAATCAGCCTAATTTAACGTCTTTTGTCTGAAAGAGAAGAAATTCTTCGAAATTTATTAAAAAAAAAATTAATACAGGTATTAAATCAGATCTGTCACGTTTTGATAAGATTAATTTTACAACATAGCCCAATTCTCTGAAAATAAGTTTTGAAACGGAAATTAGAAGAAACACATAATGGCTATACTTCCGGTTGATTACTGTTCTTTAATATCGTGAAAAACTAAATATTTCAGTGAAATCTATGATTTTTAATGAGATTTTAATGGATTATGTCGTACAAATTTAAAAATAAAAATTTCACAACAATGGCTGCATTAATATGTCGTATTATACTCAAGGATGTAATTAATTCCCTGTTTTTAACCTCAGAAACACGGGGTCGGGTTATACTCAAGCCGTGTTATACGCAATATCAGAGACCCGGGGTCCGAATACCAGTCAGATCCATTACATTCACTTATGTACTATTACCCTTGGGAAAGGTATGAATCCTCTTTTTCTCTCAGCAATGGGTAAATAGCAGGACAGAACTCGCTCTATAGCTTTGGATGGCAGCTGGTCTACCGCAGAAAGAAATGGCAACCTACTGCGGGAAAATATCTGCCTTGTCAGTCATGTATCGAAATTCAGTTACCTGCTAATATCCTTGGGAAAGATATGAATCCTCCTCTTCTCTCAGCAATGGGTAAATAGCAGGACTGGCCGGGTTCTATAGCCTTGGATGGCAACTGGTCTACTGCACAATGAAATGGCAACGTACTGCGGCCAAAAAAAACAAACCCTGCCTCGTCAGTCATTTACATGATCGCCTAAGCGTATATCACGCATGGCACATAATTGACTCACTAACATACGACGAATAAAAAAATAAAATAAAAAACGTATGTAGCACTAAGGAAGCCGTTGTAAAAGATTATGGATTTCACAATTAACTTTGATTCTGGGTTGTGGACTATGATCTTGGCAGAGGTTGAATACAGTCTGGATGGAACATGTGAGAATCTGTCGTTTGGTTCTAAGACACTAATTAATGCCATACGTGTATGTAATTGTTCTGAAACAAAATGAAATCTGAATTTTCAAATCAATTCTGGCTCTTGATTCTGGGACAGGAAGTGTTCGTTATCAATAAAGAACACAACATTTTAAAGAATAAAGAATGCTAATTAACAACTGAATGTGAAAATATGTGATGAATTTCGACAATAAAGCAATTCTAAATATAAATGATTAATTACATCCAATTTGCCATTACCACTCGTCTGTTCGTCTTCTTTGTCTTTTTATAGCCGTTTTATTGTCTCTTCAATAAACGTTCTTGTATCATTAACGGTTCTCAATTCTAAAGTCAACTGTAAATTGAAACACATTGATGTAATATATGGTGTGGCGGACTTAAAAGTTTTTTTCTTTCCGATTCAAACCGGGGCCAAGGATCAGGGATAGAGCACGAATAAAAGCGGAAAGGTTACGTTTTTACGGCATCACCTTCTGGAGTTCTTTTTATTAGAAATATTTAAAATAAATTAATTAGCGGTGTGAGATCTTATGCAAATCGAGAGTTGTTCAACAAACTAGAAAGATAAATAAACACAAACACATCTATGAGAATGTGGAATCGCGCAGGGATTCCAACTATTTTTACGTGCGTACGCGGATTGCACCCCTTCCTGTCACGTTCGGCTAGTTATAGTAGTAAACAGCCGACGTGAGGAGGTTGCTGGCTGGCTGCTCCTGATACCGTCTAGAACGGAATTTGAAGTTTTCCCGCGCATTTCTCTGACGTCACTGACAAACTTTGTTTTTCAAGTCAGTCGCGGCCAGTTTTCAGAAGAAGAAGGTCGACTCATTTATCTCGTGCCCCCTACCTATACGCGGGCCGGAATATCTTAACTAACCAAAAAACTTCTTAGTAACCCCTTGGTTCATTATGCCGAATATTTTTCCTGTGATTGTAACTTGTTTCGAACAACATGTTTGAAATTTCCTCCATTTTCTACCGGAGAATGTAGAGTCTACGACACTGTCGTCATCACACTTTAAAAAAAGACTAATTCATCGTCCTTCTGCGAACAACTTGTTCGAACTTTCCTCCGTTCACTATTAGCGAACGTAGAGTTTTTCGACACAGTCAATTGAAGAACTTCACTTACCTCCTTTTGAACTCTAACCTTTACGAACCATTTTTTTTTTAAAAAAGATAACATTACACACACATTATAAAACCTCGCAGTGAGTATTTTCTTTGTTATGCATGCATGTACCTTTTGTATAAGAAGACTCTGTTCCAGAACTTTCCTTCTGAAAAAACTTTTCCCGCCTTAGCCATTTTGATTTTCGTTTTGGCGCGGAACATCAACATTCTATTACTGACTAATCGTTGTTGAGACAAAATATTTGTTATTAAAATAAAGTTTTATATTTGTCTTCCACCAGACTCGTTTTCGTCGTTTCCTCCTGGCTATCTATATTTTACTATTTTTATGCATGTGTCGAATGACCCTTTTTCCTCGCTAAAGATCACACATTTATTATTTTTACTTTGTTAGTGGATTCGGTAGTCGTGAGTAGTGTCTGGCACAAGGCCACCTTTTCGTAGGCCATCACTGCATGCTATCGGGTCTGCTACAAGAAGATAAAAACAAATAGTTTTTATTCAATTCATCTATAAATTCTGTGATACAAAATTTTTGTATATATATATATATATATATGTGTGTGTGTGTGTGTGTGTGTGATCAAATATGAATGGGAACCGAACTGGATAAGATGAAGAACAAATAGAAAACGTAATTCAAACTAACATATTTGACTTTTATTGAAGCTTCGTCAGAGATAGATAGATTACAGTTTGACAAGCCTAAGAAGATAGATACATAGATAGATAGATAGATAGATAGATAGATAGATAGATAGATAGATAGATAGATGTCAGTTTGACAAGCCTAAGAAGATAGATAGATAGATAGATAGATAGATAGATAGATGTCAGTTTGACAAGCCTAAGAAGATAGATAGATAGATAGATAGATAGATAGATAGATAGATAGATAGATAGATAGATAGATAGGAACAGAACAAATAGATACATACATACATACATACATACACAGTCAGATAGATAGATAGATTGACAAGCCTAAGAAGATAGATAGATAGATAGATAGGAACAGAACAAATACATACATACATACATACATACACAGTCAGATAGATAGATAGATAGATTGACAAGCCTAAGAAGATAGATAGATAGATAGATAGATAGATAGATAGAGAGATAGAGAGATAGAGGTCAGTTTGACAAGCCTAAGAAGATAGATAGATAGATAGATAGATAGATAGATAGAAAGAGATAGATAGGAACAGACCAAATAGATAGATAGATACATACATACATACATACATACGCAGTCAGATAGATAGATAGATAGATTGACAAGCCTAAGAAGATAGATAGATAGGAACAGAACAAATACATACATACATACATACATACATACATACATACATACACAGTCAGATAGATAGATAGATAGATTGACAAGCCTAAGAAGATAGATAGATAGATAATGAACAGACTCAGATAGATAGATAGATAGATAGATAGATAGATAGATAGATAGATAGATAGATAGAAAGAGATAGATAGGAACAGAACAAATAGATACATACATACATTCATACATTCATACACAGTCAGATAGATAGATAGATAGATAGATAGATAGATAGATTGACAAGCCTAAGAAGATAGATAGATAGATAGATAATGAACAGACTCAGATAGATAGATAGATAGATAGTAGATAGATAGATAGATAGATAGATAGAAAGAGATAGATAGGAACAGACCAAATAGATAGATAGATACATACATACATACATACACAGTCAGATAGATAGATAGATAGATAGATAGATAGATAGATTGACAAGCCTAAGAAGATAGATAGATAGATAGATAATGAACAGACTCAGATAGATAGATAGATAGTAGATAGATATATAGAGAAAAACACCCTTATACAGACAGAGAGATAAAATGCACACAATAGATACATAGATAGATATAAATATCCAAAGACAGAAAGATTAACTGGCTGACGAATACATAGATATATCCTATAATAAATATACAGATAAATATGTGGATATAAATATCCTAAGATAGATATAAACATTATAAGATACACAGATACATAGACAATAAGATATAAACGTAAGGTAGATAGAGAGAATCATTATAAACTAGATAGATATAAACATTATAAGACATATAGATAGATATAAATATTATAAGATACACAGATAGACAGACAGATATACACATAAGATAGATATAAACATTATAAGATAGATAGATATATACATTATGAAACAGGCATAAACATTATAATATAGCCAGCTAGATATAAACAGTATAATATAGACAGCTAGCTAGATAGATAGATATAAACATTATAAGATAGATAGATATAAACATTATAAGATCGCTAGATCGATAACTAGATAGATATAAACATTATATAGATAGCTAGATAGATATAAACATTATAATATAGATAGCTAGATATAAACATTATAATATAGATAGCTAGATAGATAAACGTTATAATATAGACAGATAGATATAAATGTTATTAGATAGATATAAACAGTATAAGATAGATAGATTTAAACATTATAAGATAGATATAAACATTATAAGATAGACAGATATAAACATTATGAAATGGATAGATAGATAGATAGATAGATAGTAACATTATGAGATAGATAGATAGATAGATAGTAACGTTATGAAATAGATAGATAGATAGATAGTAACATCATGAGATAGATAGATAGTAACATTATGAAATAGATAGATAGATAGATAGATAGTAACATTATGAGATAGATAGATAGATAGTAACATTATGAATAGATAGATAGATAGTAACATTATGAAATGGATAGATAGATAGTAACATTATGAATAGATAGATAGATAGATAGATAGATAGTAACATTATGAAATGGATAGATAGATAGATAGATAGATAGATAGATAGATAGATAGTAACATCATGAGATAGATAGATAGTAACATTATGAAATGGATAGATAGATAGATAGATAGATAGATAGATAGTAACATCATGAGATAGATAGATAGTAACATTATGAAATGGATAGATAGATAGATAGATAGATAGATAGTAACATTATGAAATAGATAGATAGATAGATAGATAGATAGATAGATAGTAACATTATAAGATAGATGAATTTTGGTTGTAAATATTTTCCTGTTCCACTAGCTCAGTGCAATCCCTTATTACCTATCACGGTATTTTTCAATTCACTGCTTCATCCATTATTTACGCAAACAAATAACTATCGCTATCCGCTCTGATTAAATTATCTTTCTCCGTTGCCGTGTAATTACAATTTTCTCAGGTCATATTTCACACATTACTATCAATCATCTCTCGTCTTCGCCAATGCATTGTTCATTTCGTGTCGAAAAGACCCCAGCTCTCATTCCCTGTTGCCTCTGTACATAATGAACTCATTTCCAAGGCGACAATAAGTCGTTCCCGAACGTTTTCACTGCCATTATCCATAAACGCAATTGTTCTGGGAACGTTTCTGTACCTTTTGTTTTTATTTAGTTTCTTTTCAATAATCTGTAATTCAAGATTAATACACGTGGCGTACCGTAAATTACTCTTATATTTATTGATATTTCTTTCGTAATATCATTAAAGAAACAGTAGCTTTGGAATAACATCCAACAACATATTCATGATGTCTAAATGGGCATCATAGTGACGTTTAAAGATGAAGATAATTTAGTCGATGAATCGTTGCGTTTTCAATCAATCAATCAATCAATCAAGAGAGAGAGAGAGAGAGAGAGTAATGTGTCGCCTCTCGTCTTATTGTCTACATGCAATTAACAACCGAAACCCCAATCATATATATATATATATATTAGTAGTTCGAACCAATGAAAGACAATTTACCTTACCCTTTTTAAAATATATTATTTGGTGAGACCATAGAATTCCTTTCTTGGAGGTAGGGAGTGTGATATATATATATATATATATATATATATATATATATATATATATATATATATATAAAAATATGATTCCAACACGCTACATAAGTGTTCTCATGTTTCAAAACAAGAGCCGAAAACTTCAATATAATTATTTGAATTAAATTGAATTCAAGCGAAATTTTTTCTGGAATAACTTATTTCAGAAATTTACGTGTTTTAATAGCATATTCATTATTGAAATCAAAATTTCTAAGGTAACGGCTAGAGCAATTGTTTAAATAAACAGGGGTGTAAGGTGTTAATAATTTGTATCTGTATAACGTTACATTCACAGATGTCAAGTCAGGGTAAGGTTGGGGTGTCTAAATTTAAAACGGAAGATGATTTCGCCTAGTCTGGTTTACGTGTCTATGGAGATTTATTTATTTTTTTTATTTTATTTTTTTCTGAAAGGGTTTTGTGTATATAAAAACTGCCGTAACATTTGTTTTTTGACGACTTCATAAAGGGTTATTTTTTTGTAGGGCATTTAAACTATTTATTAAGACTATGGATTTTAAAAAATATTTTATTGTTTGTTTGTTTTTATGCTAATTATTCAATGCAAAAATTTGATGATGTCGGCAAAAAACTTATTGAGTGTTACGGCAAAGAGAGAGGGGGAGAGCAATTTAGATATATCTCTATTACTGTTGTCTATCTCCTCTCTCCTTTCCATTTTTCATTTTCTTCCCAACCCCCACTACCCTCCCATTCCTATATATCATTTCCGTTAAGTTAACCATCTAAATAGGTCACGATTAGGTCACTCCTTCTACCGCAATATAAAACATGCTTAAGAGAAATATGAAATTAACCCCTCCCTATAATCTACCTTGTCTCGTTAACTACGACTATCGTCCTCCCTGTTAAATTACAAAAATTACACTACCCATCAATTTCTAATCCCATTTTTCCTTTCATTTCGTTGTTGGAAGTATTACCTGATGATCCGGAGTCCTTCAAAAAGGATTTTGGTAAAATAAATTATTGTAATGGTACCTTAAAAGTGGTCTGTTTTTCATTATATATATATATATATATATATATATATATATATATATATATATATATATATGTGTGTGTGTGTGTGTGTGTGTGTGTGTGTGTGTGTGTGTGTGTGTGTGTGTGTGTGTCTATATATATATATATATATATATATATATATATATATATATATATATGTAACGTTGGGAAGGCTACTGAATAGAACAATCACACGAAAGTTGGTAATGAACGATAATACTTAAGACACGAACAACACATATAAGATTCGCCAGCGGTGCGTAGAAGAAGTACTCAACTTCTGGAAGTAAGTCAAATGAATTCCACAATGAATTTCCAACTGAAGGATATTTGCCATCCGCCCAACGAGGTCAGATGTGGCACAAGGCCGAATTTAATGTGGGGTATCCGAGCCCGTAGGCTCGGGCAAAAATTCCCTGTAGACACCGTAACATCGAGGTCGGGTATCTGTCTACCACCTCAGACGAGACTTTCGGCATTGCCTCGTCTGGGTTCCTTTCTGTCCGAAGGCCGAGAGTTCGACCAGCCCAGCTGGAGACGAATCTCCAACTGAAGGATATTGACCATCCGCTCCAACCGGTCAGTTGTGGAACAAGGCCGAATTTAACGTGAAGTATCCGAGCCCATAGGGTCGGGCAAAAATTCCCCGTAGACCCCCAGACGAGACTCTGCTCTTCGGCATAGCCTCGTCTGGGTTCCTCTCTTCCCGAAGGCATAGAGTTCGACTAGCTTAGCTGGAGACGAATCTCCAACTGAAGACCAACATAAAATATTTACTACTGTATATATGGGAATAGGGACATACCCATTATCGTCCGTAGGTATGCTACAACACCTATATGCTTGACGAATTCACTGATTCGAATCTTTATCGGACTGTAGTAGAACAAACCAGTACACAAGGAAAAATGATGAACAAAAAAAGAAAAATCTAAGAACATGAGTTCAAGCTCAGAGTCCAAAGAAAAAAAAAGCCTCCAAAACAAGTAAAAGTAACAACGTAAAGTGCTCAATACACGAAGTAGAGCAAACCTAATATTAACCTACCGAGGTTTTACCTAAACTGATCGTTAGGGTAAAACTGGCCCCTTTTACCCCGATGATCCGTTTAGGTAAAACCTAGGTAGGGTTTGCTTGGCTCTTTAGGTATATATATATATGGTGTCCCAAAATAAAGTATACACTCTTTAAATATTAATAGTTGATAATATATCACTATGGCACCTTGCATTTATTGGAAATATTCATAGAAATATGAGTTAATTTTTTCTTATTCAGTTTATTAAACAGGTTGTTAATTTTTTTTTAAAACGGAAAATAACTGAGTTGAAAATAATTCACTAAGAATGTACTAGACGATCCTAAGGAAAGAAGAAGGAAAGAAAAAAAAAAAGGAAGGAAGGGAAGAAAAGAAAGAAAAGAGAAATGTATGACGCATGACCCAGTTGATGGTAGAGATAGGTCTGCGTGTGGTCGACTTTTTTTTTTTTAAAAAACAAAGGGAAGAATAAATTGGAAATAATAAAAAGAAAGAAAGAGAAAAAGACATGATATCGACCAGATGTCGGTCAGAGGCCTCTGACCGACTCTTGCGTCAAAAACCCTTATCAATTTGGAGTGAAGAGAATTTTTTTTTTTTCTTTTGAACAATAGAAATGAATTTTACTTTAGTCAGAGAAAGTGTCTTTGGGTTGAGGGGAGTGACCAGTGAAACGATATACGGAATTGACCTGTTAAGAATTGGACACCCACGTTAAGAAAGTAGAGATATTTCGACCTAGATAATTAAGATTTTCGACTATCAGGTAAAACAAACAAAAAAGAGGGACAATTGTTTTTGGCTCACAGAGGGCGCCAAGAAGGCGAAAAAGAACCTTTTCTAAAGTCAAGACTAATTAGCAGCGGGCTGTTTGACAAAGTCCAGGTGAAAGAAAGCTAAAGATTGTCATTTTGCGTACGTGCAAAAAGGTGCGAAATCGGATTTTTTTTTTTAAAACCAGCACGAGGTAACCACACCCGCCAACAAAAGGGAGAGGGTGTTCGGTCAATAACAATTGGTCGAATACAATCACGTGACTGCGGAAGAAGAAGGAAAGAAAACCTCGATCAATAACTGTTGGACGAGGCGGTCACGTGGGCTGCGGAAAAGAAAGAAAGAAAGGTTCGATCGGGAACGATTGGTTGAGAGCGATCACCTGACATGAGAGAGACTAAGAGAAATAGATATGCGCCGCCCCACCAAGAGCACTGTGAGAAAGTAGGGGTGAAAACAATAACGATAATGGAAAGTCAAAATTAATACGACTTTTGAAATTATCGAGAAAACCCTGACGCCGACAGACCCACCCCAGTTTGTTGCGGCGTCAATATAAGCAGGACCCCAGTCGACAGAAATCAGTTTGAGTTGGAGATGCAGCCGGAGTTGGGCTGAGTTGCAGCAGGACCGCGGGCAGGGGAAGATCCTGAACGCGGACATAAGACCCGATTCACTCGCCCCTTTGCGGGCAAAAGAACCCTCAGACAGAAGGACTTCCAGCCCAAGTCGAAGACAGAAGAACTTCCAGCCCAAGTAGATGAAGAAGAAGATTGCCTGAAAACCTGAGTTGAGTTGGAGCTGAAGTTGAGTTGGAGTGGAGTTGCAGTTAGAGTTCATCCCGGACGGCAGCGAGAAAAGAACCCTCAGACAAGAAGAACTTCCAGCCCAAGTAGAAGAAGAAGAAGAAATACAACTCAAGTCGGAGAGAAGAATCAACTGCGAATGATCGATAGAAATTAGCCCCAGTGTCGAACTGAACCACACTCCGACATACATACATGATTCTAGA